TTTCAAAACTTTTCATTGGAATTTTATAGTCCACAAAAGACACGAGACCCATTATTTCGCTCGCAAAAATCTCTTGTCAATGCTATTAAGAGAAGTTTAACCTAAAGTCAGATCTGTTTAAACTAACCCGGAATTTAGTTGAGAAAGAGTTATTAAGCCTTCATAATAATTTTAAATGTACAGTGTATCACCACTTTTATATGGCCCTTTTTCTCTTTTTTAAAGTAAACGTTGTCGATCACATAAAATAAATCACATGACAAATCAATTAGCCAATAACACGAATCCTTGCCTAGAAGATAGACGTGTTTGATTAAATCGACCAATATTAAAGGTATCGTGGAGATATGAACCAGCAGAATCGCAAGCACAAATTAAAGAAGCAGATATAAATAATGATTCATTAAATAACAGCATTCCTTCAACTAGTTTAGGATTATCATATAAAACACGTTCGGAAGCTATTTATACAAGTGTAGTAGGTTACTCTTCCTGAGCCAAAAATTCTGACGATTTTTTTTATGAACAAATGATAATATAATAAGCATGAAATTTCCAGGTATTAATGATAATTTCGTTATTTTTGAAAAACATCAATTTTGAAGATAATAATAAAATTTTTTATTATTAAATAAAATCTTTACAAATTTGATATTTTTCAATTGAATATTAATTAAGATGTAATTAAGTATTTTACGCAATTGATGAATAATATTGGTTTTTTATGATCTAATATTATTTTATTTATATTTTAATAAAAAATACATATACCCAAATAAATACTGTCAAGTTAGGTAATATATATATATTTATATGAAATCAGCTACAAAGCAATACATAATAAACCACAATAAACTATTGATAATGCAGCAAGTAAAAAAGTATAGTGAAACTAATAAATGTAAAATGTTAAACCAAAAATAAAACTCCTGTTACTTCTGTTCCCTCCTTTCCTACCAGCTGCGGTATCTGAATTCTAGACTTCCTTTGCCAAAGGCAGCTCGTTTTCTGTCTTCACCATAAGGCAACTCATATTCTGTCTTTTTGACTGCGGTATCTGAGTTAGACTGCGGTCTCCGAGCTCAAGAAAATCCGTCTAAAGACAATTCATATTCTGCTGATAGCTACCAACTGCGGTATCTGAATTCTAGACTTTCTTTGCCAAAAGGCAGCTCGTTTTCTGTCTTCACCATAAGGAAACTCGTATTCTGTCTTTTGACTGCGGTATCCGAGTTAGACTGCGGTCTCCAAGCTCAAGAAAATCCGTCTAAAGACAATTCATATTCTGCTGATAGCTACCAACTGCGGTATCTGAATTCTAGACTTCCTTTGCCAAAGGCAGCTCGTTTTCTGTCTTCACCAATAAGGCAACTCATATTCTGTCTTTTGACTGCGGTATCTGAGTTAGACTGCGGTCTCCAAGCTCAAGAAAATCTGTCTAAAAACAATTCATATTCTGCTGATAGGTCCGGCCAGTCACTTCTGTTTCAGTTGAGTAAGATCTCAGTAACACTTATACCATTCCCCTGATGTCTCCTTTTTTGTCCTTGGAATGACCAATAATGTTCTATTGGTTTGATCATAAAAAACTTTGCATGATTTCATACAAATTTAATGTTTGCATGACAAAGAACCTCTCAATAAAAAAAAATTTTTTACACTTATTATATATTCATCATAGTATAAAACTCAAAATATTATGTAAAATAATTTTGATCATAACAAAAAAATATCCTCAAGTTATGATTCTATAAAAAGCCCATCCCACATCTTTCCCAAAAGAAAAATAAAGAGTACAATAATATAATATTTTACATAAAAATATAAAGTGTAAGATAAAAACAAGAAGCCATTCTTGTTTTAATATTTTATTCACACAAATTTAATATTTGTATGAAAACCCTCATCCTTAACTTTTCAATGAAGAAAAGTGTAAAATATTTCTTACACATATTATATATTCATCATAGTATAAAAACTCAGAATAATATGTAAAATATGAAAATTATAGGCAAAAAAAACATTTTCAAATCATGAAAAGTCCATGCCACATCATCTTTTCCCAATCTCTCATTTTTTCTGAGAAAGAAAGACAATCAATATAATATTTTACATAAAAATATAAAGTGTAAGATAAAAACAAGAAATCATTCTCATTTTAATATTTACCCATACAAATTTTAATATTTGTATGGCAAAGAACCAACTTTGACTTCTCAATAAAGAAAAGTGTAAAATATTTCTTACACATATTATATATTCATCATAGTATAAAAACTCAGAATATTATGTAAAATATGAAAGTCATAGGTATTGAAAAATTATGATTCCAAAAGTTCTATATAGCAAATAAATATTGTGTGAATTCATTGTGTTTACAAGTGGGTTATCTACACATAATCAATAAACAGGAATTTCAAAATCATGAAAACTTTAGCTCACCTTAAGATTTAGACTCTATAACCTCTCTCTTCCATATGGCCCTTCTTTGTGATCTAATATTTTTTCTGCATCTTCTTAAGAATGAATCCTTATTAGATTTAGCCATATCTATAAAATGGAATAAGGGCGAAGTGAGCTAGACACTCACATGCATTTATGGATGGTCTCATTAAAACGAACTACTTGTTGCATATTGTAGACAATATAGCTGAGTTCGTCCTAGAAGTCTCCAATCTATACTGCCTTAAGTGCTCTTTAATACTGACCTATAAATATTCTAAGTGTCACTAAAAAAAATTTAAAGGGTGTTACATTTTGATTGAATAGCCTAACTCTTCATATTCGGGTGGTGTATTTTTCCTTGATATTCATTTCCCCATAGGTATCCCAAGGTATTTTCAATGTTTCTTTTTTGTTGTGTTTTTTGTCCCTGACAAAGTTTTTTTATTAATAAAATTTGGTTTATATACATAAAAAAAAAAAAGTTCTCATACCTGAGTTACTTTAAAGATTCTTTACATTTAAAAATTCTCGTATGTTTTGTTTTCTTAGAAATAAATGATCTTAGAGAATTTTAAAACATGCAACAGCGAAAGGAAAAAGAAACTTAAATGTATTTTATACCCTAATTATGTTACATCATATTATTCATAGTATTTTTTCGCGTTTTCATAAGTATTTTTTCGTGACTTATTTTTTTCAGAAGTAAATTATTGTGTAATTATTTTCACATGAATAACCATTACTAATAGTTTTTTGAAGTTATATTAATTTTATATATTTTATCTTTTATCTTTATTTTATTTATTGATTCTCCGCAAATACTTTTTCCGAATATGGATTATGTATTTTATTAGTCATACTACTAGCTGCGGTTGATAGAAATTAAATCAACTTACATTTTTATTACTTGTTATATCAACATGTCAGTGTCATTTCTAGGGATGGGAAAGTAACGGTTAATTATAAATTTGGTTAATTAACTGGTTAATTAACGGTTAATTAACGGTTAATTAACCTATAGTTAACTAATATATTAATTTTTTATAAATAATAAAATAAAACAATGAAATTTATTTATTTATTAAAATGATTATAATAAATCTTATATATTTTATTTATTCTTCATCATCTAAACTTATTACATTTGATTCAAATTCAAGTATAGTACTATTATCACTATCACAGACTATACCATTTTTTACCAATAATTATCAAATTATAATTAAAATCACATGACTTAAATTCTGCATTTTTATTGGTTGATTTAAAGTAACGGTTAATTAACCATTTTAAACTAATTATAAGTAACATAATTAACGGTTAATTAACCATAGTTAATTAACCATGGTTAATTAACGCCCATCCCTAGTCATTTCCCCATTTTCAATTGTGTAACGTGCCGCTATTAGACTATTATATAAGTTTAATCATCCAATAATAATATTATCAGTTTGACGAGTTTGACGGGACCGTTCACGCAATTTTTATAATAAACTCCCGTTACTATCCAATAATAGTAATATGAGATAACTGACCTTAAATAACAATTATGTAAAATCTGCACGAACTTATGAGGATAACTGATAATATCTTATATTGGAAATATTAAGCCCGCTAAGCCTGGAGCAAAATGACTGGACATATTGGCTAGTTATCTAAAAACCAGCAGTAGTATATGAATTAGTGTTTACACCTTAAATTTTTCGATATTTTATATCACTAAAGGTACTATAAATTAAATTTAAATGTATACTGTACACAAATATAATATATATATACACAATGTATCTGGTATTATGAATTATTTAAAAAGTATTTTGACTTGGACTCACAATATAATCTCGATAATTATTATAATGTAATATAATTTGTTTTTCAAAAAATATTTTATATATCGTATGTTTATTTTTGTATTTACAAGAAGATATATATTGATTAGAAATATCTTTAAACTGATTACGACACAGTTTTTAATTAATGAATAATTAATTGACCAAGTGATCATAAAAGAGACAATAAAAAAAATCATACCATTTTCATTTACCCATTCTTCGCAATCTTCACAAAATAACTTTCTAGAATAAGCCACCTTTTTTGTACAACTTTAAACATAATTCATTAGTCTTCACCATAGGTCTCCAACTTTGTGTGATATCCCGACATTGTTTAGACCACTATAAAGAATTTATTTAGCATTGTAACGAAATTTTTCTAAAGTCGTACAATGAGAAAAATATATATATATTTTTAAATACCTTGCACTTTATATATTTTGCTGCATTTCTACGTCTAACCCAACCACAGTATTGACTCTAGGAAATTCGTTACATTGTATACAAGGTGTTATAAAACCTTGTACTTAAAGCTTTATGCGACATTCATCACTACAATATTCACTTAACTTCCGTTCGGATCTAAATCTGGTACATTTTAGCATTTCTTAAGTTATTAATTGATTTACATGATGAAAAAGACGATATGATGTTTGACATCTATTTATATATTTGAAAGATCAACAATCTACTTTACATTTCGCTATTTTAATAATTTTCATTTTTATTTCATATATATAAAGAAAAAAATCAATAAATATAATATTTACTAATAATAAGCGATTTCTCAAAATAAAAAATAAATTATATATGTGAAACTTGCTTGGAAAATCTATAAATATTACTACTTCTGTTTCAGGTTCATTCCATAACCCCCTTTGATTGCAATTATGGTTATCGAAAATTTTACTTATGACGATAATATATATATATATATAATTATAAACGCTTCGATCTTGGAATAATTTGCGCTTTTATAAAAATTTTATCACTCAATTCATCACCGGTAAATATGCCGATGCAAGGAAATCCGCAAACTTCCACTTCCGATTTTTCAGAATCATCATTTCCAAAAGCTCCTTGCATGAGATGCGGTTCCAAGGCTTGACCAGCATCGAAAAATTTATAAGTTGGTACAGAAGCTTGTGTTTTAAAACTAAAAAAAAAAATATTAATAACTTTATGAGTTATTTGAATAGCCAAATCATCCATTTCATTTTTAGTTTCTTCATCTACAATTTTTCTAAATCGATTTATCTTATGTAACAATTTACTTGCTGTGGTTGTGATTAAAGAGTGATCACTTGGAAAACCACGACAACTAAGAGCTGAGTAAACATGCTGCCGAATTTTGATTGGCGTAATCTTAGTGATATCGTCTTCTCCCTTCCGATTTTTTTCAAGTAATATTGTCTGATTAATTAAGGTTTCGGTGGTATTTACAATATCTCTCTCAAGAGCCGTCCCTCGACTTCCTTCAAGCATGCCATTTAAATATTTTTCAACTTCTACTAAAATTTTGACAATTATAACCCTCTGGAGTAAAAATCCTAAAACAAGGCTTGCTCGCAAACTAGGACAATTTACTTCGCATCTAAAAGCTCTTAAAAGAGCATTTGCTTCATTGTTAATTATCTTATAATCACTTCCTTGAACCATTGTGAAATCTGTGAGCATATCTTGTAAATCTGTAATGTATTGAATTAATTTTTTTGAATTATGTAACTCATCATCATTCCAAAATGCATTTGTCAAATTATCAAGAGCTGCCTGTTGTTTCGAATTTTCTTTTATTAATTCTATTACTTGAGCTTTTAAATTCTCGTTTTCTCTTTTCGAAAGTTCTTGAGTATCTCGAGTACCTTGTAACTCATCTTCAAGAATTGTTGAATTACCAATTAATTTTTTTGAATTTTGTGACTCATTATCATTCCAAGATACTTTTGTTAAATTACCAAGAGCTATTTGTTGTTTCGAATTTTCTTTCATTAATTCTTTTACTTGAGCTGTTAAATCCTCGTTTGTTTTCAAAAGTTCTCGAATATCTTGTGTACCTTCAATTAATTGTTTATTGCTATCTTCAAAAATTGTTGAATTACTAACTTGTGAATTCTTATTATTAAGGGGTGCTTGCTGTAATTCTTTTGCTTCTTTTATTTTTCTTGATAATGATTGAAAGGATTTTATCCTAGATAAGATCATCATTCTTAACTCTTTTTTTTGAAATAATGAACAACGTTCTAATTGTTCCGAAACAGCAAAAGAATTTTTCTTTAATCCATAGTTTTCCAATTCTGTCCAAACATCATGAACTAAATTTTGTCTAAAAGTTTGATCACTTAAATAACGATAACCTTTGTAATCAATCATCTAACATTTTAGAATAATTCTTATCGTTTTCTTTTGAAATATTTAACTCCTTGATAATTTGAATTAAATTATCAGTTTCTTCCTTTAATTGTTTTGTAAATTGTGCACTATTTCGTACTGGAATACCATCCCAAACAAGAATAAATAAACAAATATAATTCTCAACTGTTTCCAAGGAAGCGAACCACATAAATAATTGCCAGTTATTATCACTAACTGTATTTAAAGAATATTCATTTTTACTTTGGTCTCTAAAAAATTCTTGATTTTGTTTTCTGCTTCTTTGTTTTAAAGATGGTTGACTTGACGCCATAATTTTTAAATTAGTTGTGGATAATGGATATAATGGATTAAATAATAATCGTAATTTTTTTTAATTTTTTTATTTTTATATGGAATAAATAGGGGTGCTATGTGTTACGTTACAATATATTATGTTACGTAACTTCTAATGTACATTACATAAGGCACATAAGGCGCAGTATGATCGAAACGTGTTACACTGTTCGACATACTCCTTTTAAGATAATTCAATAAATATAATATTGGTAAGAGTATTTCAAAATTTAATCATGCTTATTATTGTAAAAAGGTGGTCTTCCTGATGATAATTCGGCCATAATTACACCTATAGTATAAATATCGGATGATGATGTATATGATTTTCCGTTTAAGACTTCTGGTGCAATTATGACGTTACTCCATATACTACTTTATCATCTGATTTTTGTTCATTTGCTGGTCCTGATAATCCAAAGTCCGAAATGACACTATAACGATCATTAATTTGTAAAATATTCCCACTATGAAAATCTTTATGACAATATCCTAATTTATGCAATGAATTTAAGTCACATAATATATAAAATAAACACTTAATTTTATTTTTCCACATAGTGCTGTTAAAGTTATTTGAAAGACTACTTTTCAAACTTCCTTTATCAGCAAAATCCATAATCATCATAAATTCTTTAGTTTCTGGGTATTTAGTTAATCCATAAAATCTTAATCCATTTTTATTACAAATTTCCAAATGTATTTTAAGCTATATTTTCATTTAAATATTTATCTGAGATATTCTGTGATCCATTTAACCTTTTCAAAGCAACTTTTATAGATTCAGGTTCTTCTTTTTTCCAACTTCCATTAATATATTCATATGTTAATTTACCATCAATCCAAGTTGCAGAATATACTTTGGCAAATCCAATTACTTTTATATCTATAAATCTATCAAATGGTACCAATTCAAGAAAATCACCGGCATAACGTATTTTATCTTTTTCATTATCAGTTATACATTGTATCTTTTATAAACTTATCAATAACAGAATATTCACTGGTCCATCCTTCCATTATTCTAAATGAGTCACATTCTTTACACCATAATTCTTCAGTAAAGGGTTTGTTACAATACGAACAATTTTTATGATTATCTGAGATTTTTAATTTACTAAGTTCGGTTTCCATTAGGTTATTTTCGTAATATACAGTATTCAAAAAAGAAAAATAAAATTAACTTTTTTTTTATGGACGAAATATTTTTTTCTTACTAAAAAAGAATACTTTAAACCAAAAGCGGAAATTTACCGATTATTGTACAATTTGTTTTTTTTTCGGGCCGTATTTTTTCCGATTCATTGACGGTATCACAATTCAAGAGACATTTTCCAACGGGCGTAGCCGTAGTTATAATAGGGAATGAAACTGACGTCAAAACGTCGTCTAATTTTATAATCAAAAAAATTAATGTTGTATGTTTTTGTGCGGGTCCCCGGGAGTACCGGGAGGTAAAGGCGGTAATGGCTTCTTTTTCTTTACTGTAATTCTGCGTAACCGATTTTTCTCACGACGTCTGAGTTGTTTGCCTGGATTTTCCTTAGATGGTCGATTAGTTCAGCGTGAATATTTACTAGGTAGATGGTGAATTTGTTTGAATATTTAGGATTAGGTCCTAATGGAGTCGGTCTATTTAAGATAAGAGGTTTTATGTGTTTTGAATTACGAACTTGACCGAGTATGCTTTGTTGTTGTGGTGATCGTACGACGTCAAAACGTAGTGAAGAATATTGTTTGTAATAAGGTCTAGTTGTGACCATTTTCCGTTGAGTTTAGGTGAAGTGATGTCACGTTTTTCCATGACACTCTTTAGATACGATGTTAGACTGGGGTCGGTGGTCTTACGTGAATATTCTTTTATTGAATAAAATATTTTTAGTAACATTTGTTCAAAAATAAAATAATCATTCCACAAAATTCAGTTAAAATAATTGATTTTCATAAAATTCATCAAATAAAATTAAAATGTTAAAAATAAATACGATAATCATCCCTCCTTTTTGATAAAACAAAATTATTTTTTTAATGAAATTCACCAAAACCCATTTTCAAAATCATTTCATTAATAAAATTCATCGAATTCACAAAATTCCTATCCCAAAAATATAAAAAAAATAAAAATAAAGTAAAATTTACGAATTTCATCAATAGATTAAACCTATTCTCACATATACCGTACGAGAACGCCAGTTCTATTAATGATTTTCATAAATTTTTTGACCTAAAACTACAAGTTAAATATCTCTTTATGTAACAATCTCTAATTTTACCAACGTGACTCATACGTAATTTCCAAGCAATTTATTTATTTATTTTATGTCAAGCAGGCAACAGATTAAGTATTGCCAATAATCGATCAAAATGAAAGTTGTAGCGCTACGCTAATACAATTGTCATCTAGCATAAGCTAGACCCTCGCTTCTAATAAAACGAACCCCATAGTCCTGCTCTTTACCACGACCGGTAAAAAGTAGTGTAAACGAATCGCACCAAAGTAATACATCCAAGAAAGAACTATGCTAAATTTGGGATTCAAAATTTTTAAAAGGTGTCAATCAAATATTAAAAACTAAATGATCCGTATTTTCTTTCGGCCAATTGACGGGCTGCCTCCTGTAAATACTTTTAGAGGAGGAATGTTTCACACTATTCAAAATTGTTTTGTGTTCATTATAAAAAAAATAATATGATGTAGTAAATTAACTACTGGAATAAAAATTGTTTACAATGACTATGTATTAGAAAGTCCCGCCGATGAGGAGTCATTTGCGTTACTCAACGAGGGACGTAGTCTTTTCGACGGGTTTGTAGAATTATGTAAACTAAGGTTGTAATTGACCGTCATACCTCGTTTCTTTGGTATCGTCCGATGTATCCGAGGAGGCATGTTCGTAATCATTCGTATACCCAAATCTTTGGCGGAGGTGTTGTTGGTAATCCAACGTAAATTCTATAATTTCTTGTTGATCTTTAGATCTCTTTGGGTTAAACATTCTATAACCTTTCTTGGGTTTAATAATGTTCTTCATTTGTTTGTTGTAACTCATTGTAATCCGTTAAGTTTTTTCTTTGAGTTGACGTTGTTTCAATTTCTTCACACTTGTGCCATGATAATTGGCTAATGTTTGTTGTTCTTTGTTTAACACATCAACGCGTTCCCTCATTTCCAGTGCCCTTTCTTGTTCTTTTCCTGTTGCAAATTTTAGGGTTATCATTGTAAAAATTGTTGTTTAAGGTATCCTAGCCACGATCTCGAGCCAGGAGCGTGATATTCATAAACGATTTTGACACTATCAGATTCCGAAGGTATAACAACGGGCGTTGTGGTATATATTTAACGAACTCTGGGCGAATATAAAAGCTTGGTGGTACCATCGGGTTATAATTATTTATTGCATCTTGACTGAGTTTGCGATGACGCTCTTCAGAAGCAGTGAAAATAAATGTTTTAGTAGACGAGGATGATGATGATGATGTAGCGTGGTGTCCAACTTTTCTTTGAGGGAGTGTTCCAATTTAGATACGGTCCGCGGTTTAAAAGAGAAATAACGGGACCAGAAATTTGTAGTCATTCGGGTCAGGGATGCGATCCTTATCGCGATATTTAAATGCCTTATTGGTTTGTAGATTTGGCAAAAAGAAAGCAGCGTCTTCTAGCAGCGATTAATTTGTCGTCCATAGTAATTGCCGCGTTAGGTTTTCCATGCACCCATTCGATTACAAATAATTGGATCTTACTATTTTAGTATAATCAGATCGCAGATCATTTTTTAATAAAATTTGACCTTTGCGGCGTTATGGGACCCAAATTGTATGGCCAACATAAAGAAACGAAATTTTTGACATGTTCTCCAGTTGGATGGAAAGTTATCCAAAAAGGATCTCAGCACGTTCACCCACGCTTAGTGGAGAAAGAGATATAGACATTCTATGCATTCTATGAAATGATTTGCGGAAAATACTTTTGATTGTTATCAATATTATGCCAGCCATTAAACTCACCACAGTTGTGTGGTCTGTTAATCTACACATAACATCTCCAAGAGTCTGAGTCAGTTTTGATAAAAATCTACGGCTAGTATCATAATTCTCAGATAAGAGCTTTTCATACTTTTGAGATCATCAACAAAGTCATCGCATGTAATAAATGAAGGCTCCCACTTTTTTTGACGCCCAATGAATTAAAATCCAGGCCAGATGGGTTTACCCATTATTATGGATAAAACAACAAGGTCTACTAAGTTATTATTTTTCCAAACATGGAACTCTTGGCATCATATGACAATGCTAATTATGCCTCATATCTCCTTAACTTTTTCCAAGTAAGATACAAAACATGTAGTGGTATGTGGAAGTTCAGCCAGGTCAAATCTTCCAAACTCCAGGTGCATCATTACGAGTCCAATTGGAAACAGTTGTGGTCTTCCATTTCCTTTGAGGTTGTATTCAAATTAGATTGAAGCCACCCTTCAAAAGACCAAACATTAGGAATAGTGTTACGCGGATCTGCGCCACATGGAAAGTTCAAGAAATTAGCAGCGATCCGCAGTGTAACGGTGTAACTTATACTTTGTATAGTTTATACTAAGTGTAATTTATACTTGGTATAATTTATACGAAGTTTAACTTATACATAGTATAATTTATACCGAATTTCGAATAATATATATAGAGCGGGCGAACAGTGGGGGATAGGGGATAATTAAGGTTTATTTAGTGTTAAATTTTAGTATAGTTTATTCGGTAATATTGCAGATCGCCGGCAGAGGCAGCAATATTTTATTCTGATATTATTTATGAAATTTATTATGTATTAGCATTTATTTATTGTATTGCTTGATTGTTTTAAGTTATTATTTACATTGAATAAATATACACTTTAAAATCATACATATAACTCTTAATTTTACATATATACTTTATTTCATTTTATTTTACGATAAACGTAACACGAATTTCTGTTACTATCACGTGACCCCGACGCAAATCGATAGTAACAATTTGGTGCCTTCTGCCAGAAACCTGATACCCACCCGATTGTTGTATGATAGATTATAACCTATTCTTTCAACAGAATACTATACACGATCGTTGGCATACACGTTTAAACAATAATATAATCCAAGTTCAGTATTATCATCGTGATCTTTCCTGTCCATATTGTTACCCACCTGGACCCAATACTCCACAATTCGTTAACTTTTGGGACTGGTATTCAACCGAAAATCCTACTGAAAGTTATACCAGTAATACTCAACAAGCACTAGAGGATTTATCGGACGCAACTACCATTCGGGATCTTTGGGAAGCTATCTATTCACTGGTTTTCACTGTAAGATATACCGATATACCTCGCCCTTACACCAATCTAAGGCAAGAGATATACAACGCTTGTATCCTTACCGATAATTTTGAGAAGGATTTTTACGGAGAGCTGCTGGAAGTAACTAGTGAAACTGAAGAACTTGAATTATCCGAAGTATTAACCGATTCTTCAGAATCCCTTGTTGTACAATTATCAACTGGATCATCCAACTATTCTGATTTAGAGATCAACTTTGATCTAATAGGACCGGAGCCTGGGCTACTATATATCAACGAAGATCTTTACCTTAATAATTTATTTAAAGAAGAAGAAGCCGGATTACTTTATACCGACGAAGACCTTCACTTAGATTTCCTATTTCAAGCACCAGATCCTGGTTTACTCTATACCGACGAAGAATTATATTTAGAAAATTTATTCAACGAACCAGAAGAACCAGACATGGCGGCTATGGCCGGAGGAATGCCTAATGCTAACCAGCTCCTTAACGCCTTGAATAATTTGACAAATGCGTTAGGAGTTGGCGGAAATAATATGCAAAATGTGAATAATGCGTTAAATAATTTAAACGCAGCGGTAACAGCTAACAATAATGCAATGCTGAATAGGGAAGTACAAGCGGCACCAGTTCCGACATTTTATGGCGGAAACCAAGACCCGATTACATGGTTAAACGAGTTCAATAACGCATGCGCAGCAAACGGATGGAATGCAGCACGCAAATTGCAAGTCGTGCCCGCCTATCTGAAAGGAACGGCCGCAGTATGGTGGCAAAAGGTTGTCAACAACACTATAAACGCGTGGGGAGGAGCAGCGAATAATAACACATTTGAACATGTGTTCAAGCAGCAATTCCGAACACCTGCATTGGTTGAAATGTGGTCCACCGAGTTGGACCAACGGCAACAACAACCGAGCGAAACGGTCGATCAATATGCGTCAGCAATCAGGGAATTATACCAGCGAATCAACACGCCGGTATTTGCATACCCGGATAATGTACAAGCCCGGAAGTTCGTGTCTGGCTTGTTGCCAGAATTATACATGGCGGTGAAACCTTTTGGAGATCAAACGTTGACCGACGCCATTAATCGAGCAAAGGCCTGCGAATTGACGATGAATTCTGGAAGACCCCGGATAATGAATTATAAGCAAACCGGCAAATCTGAGATGGCTGAATTGACGAAATTAGTTACCGTGTTGGCGCAACAAGTTTCCGAAATTGAGAAGAAAATTGATAATAGTCCGTCTGGTAGTTATCGGAAACCACCTGCTGCGAGACCAGAACTATCAGTTCCAGATAGACCACCAATAGTATGTTACTCGTGCGGGGAACCTGGACATATTAGCAGACGATGTCCAAAGAAGGAGAATACTACCGGTGGTAAGGCTGGTTTCAACCAAACCGGAAATATTGATCCCAATTTGCTCCAAGGACTGTTGAAGCAATTGGGAGGGCAAGGACAATCGGCGCCTTTAAACTAGGAGGTGCACCTTTGGAGGGTGAAGGTGCGAAACCCGTTCAAAATCCCTCGTATGTAACCTTGTTCCAAGCCTACCCTGCTCAAAGGAATAGACCAAAGACTCGAAGTACTCCATATCCGAATAAAGAAATAATCGAAGAGGAAAATGCTCAAGAAGATCCTCAGTATGCACCAATACCGATTCCTATCCAAAAGACTAATAATGTTGGAGAAGGAGAGCAGATGACCGTCGATGCGAAAGAACAGGCTACCGAAATTAAAAAGAAGAAGGCTACGGTGCGGAAAAAGAAAACACCGAAGGTTCAGCCGTCGATAGCTGCTCACATACCACCGTACAACATAGTTGCCGATTTACAACAGCAACGAGCGAACATTACCTTCGGACAGCTATTTCAGATATCACCAAAGCTCAGAAGAGACGTTGGAAAAAGTTTACGGAAACCAATGACTAGAAGCGCTAAATTCGCTCATCAGGACGTACAAAATACGACAGCAATGTATTGCGACGCCATGATAAAAGGGAAAAGAATCCCATTAATTGTCGATACAGGAGCAGCTGGTAGTATTGTTACCTGTCAGCTGTTGAATGACTTGGGAATTGCGATAGACCGACCATCTGCTATTGTGATGATAAACGTCAATGGGAAAAGAAACGGCCATTGGGTGAAGTGCTGGATTTTCCGATAACCGTTGGTGGCGTTACTGTTCCTATCAACGTGGTAGTAATCGATACCGAATCTTATAGTGCCATAGTAGGTAACGATTGGCTATCGAAAGTGCAAGCCCAGTTAAACTATAAGGCATCGACGTTGTTGTTCACTTGGCAAGGCCGAGAAGTGGAAATCCCTGTTGAATATCGGATGATGCCGCACGAACGAACGATAAAACAAAAAGAGGAAGAGGCGAGGATAGTTGAAAGTGAAGAGGAAGAGGACGATGATGATGGAGATGAGGAGGAAGAGTCCGACGATGAATACGAAGAGGAAGAATTAGAAGAAAAGGTTTATTGTTGCTATCAGTTCGAAAGCGACAGTACGGATACTTTAAAGCAACATAAATCGTCCGGACTGAAAAAAGAAAATAGTACGACGAGTGGGGATCTAGTTCTCATCAATCAAGGGTTTTATTTGCAAAGAAACTTCTACCATTGGAATTATTACCGATATTTAGACGGAAAGTTCCAATCGGAAAAAGCTCGAAAAGAAATTTGTGGAAATGAAGGCAAAAGTCTTTGCCTATGTGGTAAAGCAAGAGGATGTAAAACCTGCCGAAATGATTTTACTTTATATACGGCAGTGAAAAACGTCCCGGAACAAATCGTCACCACGATGAGTATAGTTACGCCTGAAGAGAATGAACCGCCTATAAAGGAACAACGATCATGAGACCTCGAATCGGTCGAATTTACACCGAAGGATGTTGATGCGATTCTGCATGAGCAACAGGCCATCGGATGTTATTATTGTGGGAGGCAAGAAATCGGAAAGATAAGGGAAAGGAGTGTTGCGTTACCCTTTTTACATAATGAAATTACCGATATCTTTGCGGGAGAATCAAAGCTACCGAATGTTGGAGAACTAACCGAAACTCAACGGAATGAATTTCAGAAGTTGATTGAACAGTATCGGGATTTGTTTGCTTGGACAACTGCGGAATTGGGTCGGACAGATTTAGTGTATCACTCGATCAACACCGGAGATGCTAAACCGGTTCGACAACGGTGGTACCGAACGTCCCGAACCGAACAACAATTTATAGCTGAAGAAATCCAAAAGATGCTGAAGCAAGGGCTCATCGAAAAATCCAAAAGCGCATGGGCATCTCCTGTTGTTTTGGTTCGGAAAAAGAATGGGAAAATGCGATTCTGCGTGGACTATCGTCAGTTGAATAAAGTCACAAAAAAGGATTCTTATCCATTACCACGAATAGACGATATGCTCGACGCCTTAGGACATGTATCGTAATACACTTCGTTGGACTTAGCCAGCGGCTACTGGCAAGTCGAAGTTGATCCCAAGGACAGAGAGAAAACGGCTTTCATAACCCAGTATGGTACCTATCAATTCCTGGTGATGCCGTTCGGCTTGTGTAATGCACCGGCAACCTTCCAGCGATTGATGAACGGGATATTGGAGGGGATACTATGGGATTTCGTGGTGGTGTACCTTGACGATTTGAACGTATATTCAACAACGTTCGAAAAACATCTGGAACATTTAAGGAATGTATTCGACTGACTTAAGAACGCCGGATTGAAACTGAATCCCGAGAAATGTTATTTCGTAAAAAGAGAACTATCGTTTCTGGGATATGTGATCAGTTCCAAAGGTATACGCACCGATCCCACGAAAATCGAAAAGGTAAAAAACTTTCCGATACCTCGGAACGTCACCCAATTGCGTGGATTTTTGGGATTAGCGTCTTATTATTGACGATTTATCAAAGATTTCTCAAAGATCGCAAATCCCTTAAATAAGCTATTAAGAAAGGACAGTCCTTTTGTATGGACTGAGGCGCAACAACAGTCATTTGACTTATTGAAGACGCATTTAGTTCAAGCGCCTATTCTCGCATACCCGAAGTTTGACGAAAAATTCATCTTATTGACGAATGCTTCAACTTTGGGATTGGGCGCTATCCTCGCTCAGAAGGACGAAGACAAATTCGAGCGAGTCATAGCATATGCAAGTAGGACATTGAGCAAAGCCGAAAGGAATTATTCGGCTACCGAACTTGAGTGTTTAGCGGTTGTGTGAGCCGTTGGACACTTCCACCCTTACGTACATGGAAAGCGATTTACTCTTATAACGGATCATTCGGCATTGTGTTATCTTTTTAACTCGGCAACTCCTACCGGAAGATTGGCCCGCTGGGTCATGAAACTCCAACCCTACGATTTCAAGATTATCCACCGCGCCGGCAAGAAACATACGAACGTCGACAGTCTATCGCGAATACATTAGGAATAGAAGAAATCGTAAAATTTTACCAGGATTGTATTTCTGGACGACACCTCTTATCGGATTACGGCTTGATCTAACCCAACCATGGATATTACGCTATATTACCAACTATTACAATATCTGAATGATCTCGTTCTACCAGAAATGATGGATTCCACACAAATCCGTAGTTTCAAAAGCAAAGCTCGACACTATTGTTCTATTAACGGAATTTTATACAAGAAAAATAATCGGAACCCTCAAAGACCTTTACGGGTCCTTCGACCTAGCGAGGTGGAACCGATTTTATATAATTTCCATAGTAATTCGTTAGCCGGACACTTTGGATTTAATGAAACCTATCGGACCATTAGTGAAAGGTACTATTGGCCGCAGATGGGAGACGATATTAAACAATATGTGCAGACCTGTGAAATATGTCAAAAACGGAAAACGCCAATAAAATCGGAACCGTTACATCCCATCAAGGTAAGAAGACCCTTCGATCGAATCGGAATGGATATTGTGGGACCGTTACCAATAACGCGAACCGGAAATCAGTATATCGTCGTGGCCACTGAATACTTAACGAAGTGGCCGGAAACTCGTGCCCTTCCAGACGCTAAGGCCGCTTCGGTGGTTCCGTTTTTCTATGACGATATCATTTGTCGGCATGGTTGCCCGAAGGAACTCCTAACCGACCAAGGAACTCATTTTTTAAGCGACTATATCAGATAATTGGACCACTGGAAGAAGATCGTCGCAAGGCGCAGCAAAATATTCACCGATCCCAAGAAAAACAAGTTGAGCAATATGGGAAGAAAGTTCACCCACATCAGTACCAAATCGGCGATAAAGTACTACTTCGGAATTTTAAGGCCAGGAAATTGGATCCGAAGTGGAACGGACCCTACTACATACACGATATAGGACCGAATGGAACCTATAAGCTGCGGACAATGGATGGTCGCTTACGTAAGAAATTAATAAAAGCAAATCATCTCCTTCCATATTTTGAAAGGAGAGTGAACAGCGACGATTAGGTAATCAAACAATGCAGGATACGACATGAATCTTCTACAATTTTCCAGAAAAATAGGAAAATATAAAAGGGACGCCAGAATGAAGTCATTTTGACGTAAAAATGGAGACATATTCTAAGGAAACTATCCGGCAATTAAAGATTTTTCTACAACATTGGTTACATGAAAGGCGACCTAATGATGTTCTTACAATTGATTCCGACCGGATCCTTTTCAGTAATAATTTTGGAATACAGGAAATTCATCTATACGATTTTATTGGGAATTGTGCAACTGTTTTGGAAAAATGTGTGGAGGATTTGCGAAAGGAAGGAGTGACAACTATTCCTGTACCGGATTATGTAGGACAGGATGATGAACAACGATTAGAAACATTATTACATTTAACGCAACAACCCTCCTTCCATAGGCGAAAAACATTACATAGAATAGAGACCTTTTATTATTTAGGGGAAGTTCTAACTCTACGAGGATGGCGGAAGAAAGATGCCCGGCGAATAAGAGAGTTATTCAGCACCAATAAAGGCGCTAGTGAATTTAAGAAGACGGCTAAGCGTGTATACGAATTGTTCCAGGCGAGAGGATTGGCTAATTTGTATGCAGTAACCTATATACGACCACATCACCTTGACCAGATGGAGGAAGACGAATTTTATGGTCAATTACTACCGATTGCTCGCCAGTTGCGTGAAGCCGAAACCCTGATCTTAATACAGGGCTCGCAGGAGCTCACCCTTTCTAGGGGGGGCTGATGTTACGCGGATCTGCGCCACATGGAAAGTTCAAGAAATTAGCAGCGATCCGCAGTGTAACGGTGTAACTTATACTTTGTATAGTTTATACTAAGTGTAATTTATACTTGGTATAATTTATATGAAGTTTAACTTATACATAGTATAATTTATACCGAATTTCGAATAATATATATAGAGCGGGCGAACAGTGGGGGATAGGGGATAATTAAGGTTTATTTAGTGTTAAATTTTAGTATAGTTTATTCGGTAATATTGCAGATCGCCGGCAGAGGCAGCAATATTCTATTCTGATATTATTTATGAAATTTATTATGTATTAGCATTTATTTATTGTATTGCTTGATTATTTTAAGTTATTATTTACATTGAATAAATATACACTTTAAAATCATACATATAACTCTTAATTTTACATATATACTTTATTTCATTTTATTTTACGATAAACGTAACACGAATTTCTGTTACTATCACGTGACCCCGACGCAAATCGATAGTAACAATAGGTAGAATTAAAAAATAAATCTACCCATTTCGGGTTAGATTTATTTTTTTATGATGATCAGCTGCTGCTTACGAATTTTCTTTATTACAAAAATAGTAATTTTTGTATACAATAGTAGTACAAATAGTTATACAAATAGTAATACAAATGTGCGCAATTTATTAAACTTCGTTCAATTCACTTTTGCCCATAATAATTCTGAAATTTATTTTGAATAACATAGTTATTTATTTATATAACTTAAATTAAGATTATAACCCACAACTCAATATGGATGAAAAGCCAAAAAATTTATGGAATTATGATGTTGAATATCAGGTAATAACCATTTAATATCTTTAATAATTATGATTTCTTTATTGAACTTTTGTAGTTAAAAATATTAATAATTTTTTGTCTATTAAAGGAACATGTTACAATTCCTACTAATGATTCAACTATTGAATCAGAAAATGTAGATGAAAGAGTAGTTTATATAGGAAATTTAGAAAAAAGAAAACAAGCGTATGGAATATGTGGAGAATGTAAAGAACCTGGAACAGGATACAATTGGTGTCAATCTTGTAATGCTAAAAGATTTAAAGATAACTTTAAAAATTGGACTAGTGAAGTAAAAATATTGATGAATTTATACAACAATCACAACTTAATGCTGTGCATTATTTAAGATATCTTGAAATACCTTTTGAAAAATTTCAAAATATCACTTATATTGCAGAAGGTGGTTTTGGTAAGATTTATTCCGCTGAATGGTCTGAAGGATGTCTTGAATATTGGGATATTGAAAATCAAAAATGGTATAGAAGAAAGTCTGATAAATATGCATTGAAAAGTTTGAATAATTCTTCTGATATATGTTCAGATTTTTTAAATGAGGTAATTTAAACTTACTTTGTCTTATATATAAAGATTTTTATTTGCATTTATTTATTAATAAAAATTTTCCTTTTTGATGATGATTAGATTAAATCTCATCTTCAGATTTATCTTTTAGATATTATTCAATGTTTTGGAATTACTCAAGATCCAAATAATAAAGAGTATATGATGGTTTTATATTATTGTGAAAATGGAAATTTGAGAAATTATTTAAATAAATCTAAAAATTATATAAATTATAAATCAAAAATTGATCAATTACAACAAATTGCAAGTGGACTTTTAGATATTCATAATGCTGATAAAGTTCACAAAGATTTTCATTCAGGTAATATATTATTTGCAGGTTCTCCATATATAAGTGATTTAGGAATGTGTCAACCAGCAAATATAAAGAAAACAGTTAAAGAAGAAGGAATTTATGGAGTATTACCATATATGGCACCAGAAGTTTTACGTGGACAACAATATACAAAAGCAGCAGATATTTACTCATTTGGAATAATAATAAACGAATTTCTTTCTGAAGAAATTCCTTTTAATGATATTCCTCATGATGAATTTTTATCTATTAAAATATGTAAAGGACTTAGACCAACAATTTCTAAAGACATACCAAAGTTATTTGCAGATTTGATAATAAAATGTTGGGATGCTGAAATAAAAAATAGACCAACCATTAAAGAGTTGTATCAAGCACTAAATGAATGGAATTATGGTCCAAATAGTGAAATTTATTTTCAAATAGAAGAATATGATAAAATTAGAGAAGAAAAATTCAAAAACAGGTCAAATGAAGATAAATCCAAAAGCTTCAAAACGCATCCACAAGCAATTTATACTAGTAGACTTATAAATTTCAAAAATCTTCCAAAATTAGTAAATTCTTCGGATTTATCATCTTTTCAATTCAGTTCAAGTAATTAAATTTAAGTTTATTTTATCATATAATCCAATTTTACATTATTAATGTTATTTTTATTTTTTAATAGACACTAATTATACTACTCAATCAACATCAGCAAATCCAAGTAAGTATTCCTTTATTACTATAATTATTTTATTTAAATTTATTAATGTTTAAATACTATAAACACAATAATATACAGTTTCAGAATGCTTAGATGTTCAATTAAGTGAATTAGGTAAGTTATTATTATATGTAATTTTATTGATATTCTATATCTAATTTATTATTTTTTATAGAACTGAATGAAATTTGTCAAGATAGTGAACATAATATTGAATGAAGTTTCTTTTTATGTGAAAGTTGTATATTAATTCGTGTATTGAAGTTAGTTTTCTTCTATTTTTCTTTCATTTATACTTCATAAATTTTTATAATATATAGAACATATAGATTTATTGGATTTTATATTTAAGAATATTCTATATAAATAAAGAAGATTTTAAACATAAAACTGTAATACAGAAAGTATATTTGCAACTGCAAATATTCCGCTCAATGTATCTTTGCTCGATGATAACGGTTACAAATTCATAGTGAAATTTCTCATTTTATGCGTAATAAATAGTTTGGTTAATACTTTTAAAGGTAGTTAGATCATGTTAACTAAAATTCATTTTTTTTTCGATGAAAAGGCATACGGTAATTTCATATGATCAATATGACAAATAGGAACACGAATTTTCTGCACAATATAAACTTTTAAAATACTTAACATAAGGTGGTAAAATTTATAAATTTATTAATTTTACGCGTCTAATGTATAGTAATCTATAATATATTTATTGATTTCAGTAAAACAAAAGAACACAAATTTTGTATGCTCTGGTATTAAAATAATTTTTATTAAATTAAAATTCATCGTGTAAGATGCATATTCTTAAAAGTCCCAATATGTTAAAATTAGCTTTTGAATATTATGAAAAATCTGCTAATAATAATTTCTCGCATGGACAATCAGAAATTGGTTAGTTTCAACAGTTCCTATTACTTAATATTTAAATTAATTTAATTTGCTACACTGTATTATATTTTCTTTTAATTTACAAAATATAATAATAAAAGATATGAAATTTTAATAATTATTCTTAGCAAGTATATTTTATTATTAACTGAATGTATATATTTTTCATTAATGTTAAATCATTTTATTCTAAAAAAAATTAATCGACATAAAATAATTAATGCTTATTTTTCATTAGTACAGATCATGAACAACGATAGTATATAATAATAGACCCAACCAGATGATCGACATAGTCCCTAATCTCCTAGTTTATAAACTTGTTAAAAATTCATAATATACATAGTTACATATGTTGCTCATGTGATCTAAAAAATCAATTTATATGGTATACGTTCGAACTTTTTTAAAAATGATGATTGATAATATTTTCAGCGTTAAAATTTGATTATTATTATTTTCGTGAGTGACTTTCAACAAATTGGTTCTGGGAGTTCTGGAAAAGTATACCGTGTAAATTGGAAAAATTCAGAAAAACAATTTGCAATAAAATCATTTTATAATTTTAAAAATATCACTCTGAAAGAAATTATTCGTGAGGTAATTTAATATACAATAAGTTTTTTTTAATTAGTCTTTATTAGTCTATTAACATATTTATTTTAAAATTTTGAATTTATTTATTTAGTTAAAAATTCAAAGTGAAGTTGATGTTCGTGATAACATTATGTATTGTCATGGAATAACAAAATTCGAATCAGGTATTATAAAAATTTTAAACAAAGGCAGGATTACGTCGATAGTTATCCATGCGAGATAAAGACTCTTCTATTCTTTGAGAAAAAATTGTTTAACAGAAGTTTAAATACGTAAAAACATTGTCATGTAATGAGGTAAAAAAGGAATATGCCATTTTGACTTTGCTTAAGTTGTACTTCGGATAAAGCGGACTAGCTGGATCGGGAATATATCGAATGCATACGGTCCTTACTGCGCATAGAATATAATGCAATTCATAAGCTACACGTGCTTCAGAAAAAATAATGTTGGGAACGACACAAAAAAATAATTACAATTCGGACTAGCTTACCGTAGGTATCCCTATAAAAAATTAAATTATGTGAAAATGATACATTCCCAGAAAAAACATGGAAATATAAAACATGGATCGACATTTTTTAGTTTAGCACTTAATTTTCTTAATAAATCCATTGTAGGTTGAGCGTTTGACATTGGGAATAATTCAAAAGTTCGTCAGTAGTTCGTCAGCATAGATATAACGACAAAATGTCACGATCAGAATTATACTGCATCGATAATACATAGGCTTGTTTTACAAAACAAAATGTCGTTTCTATACTATTTCCTACAGACCACACCAGTGTTTCGTTCATCTAAACTATTTATACTAGTACAATATCCCAACATTAACTCTAATTCGATTTCATTTGTTATTTGTATTTTGTATCAATAATGCCTGTTTCCCAATATCGATATTCTGGATAGAATAAATGGTCGTCAATTATTATACATAAAACATGCAGAGTCAGAATTAAATTAACAATATTGATCTTAGTAAAACTTACCGAAATTTTATGATAATAGAATAGTCAATAAGAGAAGGAAAATAGGAAGCTGGAGTTATTTAACGAGGAAGCCAAGCAAGAAAAATGATTTGAGGAAAAAGAGGTTTCTCCGCCTAATAAGATCTTTGAATTTCTGAACAAAAAAAAAAAAAATAGATATTAGCCTTGCATGCTCTGAGTCATTTCTTTGAAAAGGCACGTATTGTCTCGTCTAGAACTTCAATAGTTTCTTCAGTCCATAATGTTTTTGTTTAGCTCAGGCCAGAGTAAAAAATATTCTAAACCACATTTCAACAAACCAACTGTACAACCAAAATTTTCGTAATCATATAAATACTGTACCTACTGATTGTTGGTTATTATTAACTTTTGTTGTAGTTTGTACTAGTCGTACTAGTCATATATCTAAAATGTTAAATGATTCAGCGGAGAACTAGCCACATTGTTAATATTTTGAGTTTAATTTTAATAAACGAAATTTTCTTAATTAATTACTATAAAAATGGCCCATTTTTTTTGGATGCACAGATCGAACAACTTCTTCTTCTTCAAATATTTTGACACTTATGTTTCTCCAAACCATATTTACAAAGTTACGAAGCCTTTTTTACATTAACTTGGTAGGTTATTTTGTACTGAACTTTAAGTAGTTTGTCTATCTTGAGATCTGATTTTTTTTGGATAATGCAGGAATGGCCTCGTGTATATAATACGCTTGTATTTACATTTTTCCATCCACATCTTTCATAACTTCCACTCACAAGTTATCTTTCATCTTTAACAATAACTGATTATTACACTAGACATATCCGCTGATTTGTGGAATTAACGAATTAGATTAAAGCGGAATTATATAAAGATCATATTTGTGTTACATGATCATATGACACGGGTAAAAAGATTTTTTTCTTTTATAAACCCCCCTATCAATTTTCCCATCAGTTCTCTCTCAATATCATTCCTACGCTCTTTAGCTGGTGTGTAAGTATTAAAAAAAGAGATTTTACACTAGAATTTCTACAAGTATATAGTATATAGCATTATTTTGCATTAGACACAACTTGTAGCTATTTTTTTTGACTTATTTGTCTTATATAAGAGCGGTTTCAATTTGATGAACGGCAAATTCCTCAGATTGACGGATATGGACGTCATTGAGTTGTATTGAATTACAAAACATATTGAAGTTCAAAGTTGATAGTGAAGTATATCTGAAAAAAAAACGATAAATAATGTCTGTCTCTGTGATCAAAAGATGGATCAATTAATTTCGAACATAGGAGATTTGGACGATACCTTGAAAAATACATTTGAAATATAGGAGAGCAGACAAAAATTACGAAAGAAATATTGGATCATATGAAGAGCAGAGACTCGGCTTAATCAGTTAGAGTGTCAAAAAAATCGAACAGAATTTATAAGTGACTATAGAGATTGAGTTGGAGTGATTTAACAAAAAAATATGGAGAGAAAGAATTGCATGAAGCGGAGAGAGTCTTGGTTTTCAAAAGAGAAGAATGGCTTTAATGGTTTATGAGAGTAAATCTATTGAAAAGTTAAATAATTTTTTATTAATATGGAATGTCAACCAATGATATTAAATTATTACGTGAATTGGAAGATGACTATTTCATAATAATGAGCAAACCTTGACAGAGGCAGCAGTAGAGCGACTAAACAATCCGCTTCCCAACAACATGAATAAATACAAGGCTCCATTACAACTCTTAAAGCAATTGATATTTGTCCAAACGTATCTTCGATCCTTATAGCTCCTCGCCACTTAGTGTTATCCTAAAGGCACTGGGATTTTTATTATTTTTAGATCATCAAATGTGTTTTATTCTTCCACTTTCCATAACTAGAAGGACTTATAATATTTTTCATATTGATCTCCTTAATTTTGCAAATATTTTTGTTATTTTCTATTTTTATCTTATAAAATTATATTGTGAATGATTATATAAACATGTATAATGGAATTAAAGATTATCTTCAAAAGTGTTTTAAATGTGGGTGCGCACTAAATAATATATGCATTGTCATAAATTTTAATAAAATTATTAAATTTTTGTACCATGCGTAAAAATTAATAAGAATTTGAAAATTATATATATTTCTTACATCACCTGCATTTTGCGCAAGTGCGTAGAAAAAAACTCCGTTTTAATAAATCCTGTATTATATAACCTTATAATAACCTTTTCAATGTAAAAATTAGAAATTCCAGTCCAGGACTGGGTTCAAAAGGCGGGCTCTCACGGGACTACTACTCCAGTAGTTAGCTTTTCGTATTTTTTTGTCATTATTTTCTACGATTGAAATGGAATGCTGTACTGCAGCTATTCTGATAGGTAGCAATTATAAACAAACAAATTCTTATCATCAAAGTTACTTGGTAAGTAATAAAGGTTAATGAATTTTATTATTTTATTATTTTAGACCCGGACATCTTGCACTCGTTGTCATAGCAAGCACGTGAAAACCCGGATAAATATTGCCGAGATTCAAAGTAATTGTCGATCACGTTGAAGTCGTTGAGCTGTAATACTCCTATATATAGAGTGTATTCAGCAATAAAAAAAAATAAAAAATTTTAGAAAATGAATTCAAATAACCAAACTACTCAAGAATATTCTGATTTATCAATGTATCAAACTGAAAATAGCTCCGCGCCTTTGCATAATAATAATAACAATTCTTCCATTAACAACGTAGGAATGTCTAATACCTTCATTATTAATAATTTATTCTCACACTTCAAAACGATACATTTGAATTTTACTTTCCTTTACCAAATGATACACGTATTTATTACGTTACATATACCGAATTATATCCATTAGAAAATGCGCGACTCTTATAGCATTGATTTATCTCGTATTCCTAGCCATCAGCTTCCACATCATTATAATATCCAATCTTTAATTCGACAACAGATTCAGCAACAAGTCCAACAATCCATTTATCATCAAAATAATGTTCAACAACAATTCATTGATACTACAATTCAACCTACTTCTCAAGTACATTCAGATAATAATAACGTTTATAATGCAGCTTCAAATTCAGTATACGGAACTATTTCTTACAATATTTAAGGTACAGAATTTCAGAATTCTTACTAAGGAAATTTGATTATTATATTTTGAGATGAAATAAGGTTTGGCTATTAACTAAGATTAAGTTGTTAAATTTGCTAATTAAAGTGAGATATTTTTATTTATTTATTATTATTTTTTTTTTTTGAGAGAATGTATTTATTTTATTGTATTTATTGTTTATATATATTTTGTGTTGATATTTAAACTGAAATAAAATATAATTTTTTTTAAAATTAACGTATTGTGTACGAAGTTAAAAGACTAATGGCAATCATTCCGTTTTTCCATATTTTTTTTCAATTTCTCCCAGATAGGAAGGCTTATTCCGTTTTGAAAAAAAAAAGAATTAAGAATTATGACCCTTAAATTATTGTTCAAATTCCATCATTAATATTTTAACGCGTAATTCATAACACTGCATTTTTAAACATTATTCTCTCAATTAGACGATCAAAAAATAAGATATGAGCCGATATCAAATAAATCAAAATAGGGATGAATATAAATATATTCTATAGTGCAGAACCTCTATACTCAACTACTTATATATAGTAACAATTGATTGATTATAAATTTCTAAAAAAAAATTTTTTTATATTAAAGTAAAAAATTTAACCAATAATTTTTATAGACATGACCATTAGCTTNTATAGTAACAATTGATTGATTATAAATTTCTAAAAAAAAATTTTTTTATATTAAAGTAAAAAATTTAACCAATAATTTTTATAGACATGACCATTAGCTTTAAAAATTATCGGTTATTTTTTTTCTAAATTAAATTTTGGCTGAGTTTTAGCTGTTTAAAAATCTGTAATTTAAATATATTGATTAAATTTAGTCAAAATTGAGACTAGTTTAAATTTTTATATTACAGGTTTTTTTAGCCACATTTAATGTACAGATTTTTTTTTTAATATGCTAAGAAGAAAAAAAATTTTAAAACTGCAAAAAAAGATTTAATGAATAAGGTTGTTTAAATATAGGTCAATTTAATGTTATAGATGATAATTTATATACCATCAAGTGAATATTTAAAAGACAGTTCAGGTCAAAAAATACATATAATAAAATACAAATCTCATCATTGTATACCTAATTCATCAGTTTATAATGAAATACAATAAATAAATATATTATATAAATTTTATATCATATAACTTATAAAATCCTAATTTCTGATTGGTTAATATATGTATCACATGATGCTTACATAATCTGAAAAAATTGAGACTTTTTTTTTATTTTATAAATCAATTCCTTTTAATAAATAGAGTTTAATTTTTTTTATAAAATTAAAATCCAATCATAAAATCAAATTTTATTTAAATTTTTTTAAGTTCCTATTATAGAGGTTCTGCACCGTATGTACGTACATCCTACCAGAGTTTAGGAGTTATGCACTTGCACGTGATAGCGTTAACATTAACTCTGGTCAGTTCGTACGTTAATACTTAATATACACCCACGCTGTACATTAAAGGAACCCCATTACTAAATATCATGGTGAATTTATGATGTAATGCTGGCCAGTATTTTATTAGATTTTTAATTCTGGGCAAATGCACATCATAATTCTGGTATGGTGATCATCACCTCCTCCTATTTTCATTGGTCGACGGTATTTCAGTATTATTTATGTTAGTGTATCGACTGTATCGTGTAATTTACAATTTTTTTTTTTTTTGCATAATTTTTTTTTAAAAAATAAATTTTTTTTCATATGAGAAACTATTTAATTATGTTATTAGATTAAATATGAGTAATTTTTTCTTACAAAAAGTCTATTTGATTTTTTTTTTAGCTCAGTCATCAATATTTTAATATTTTATAGAAAATCGAAAAAAAAATTCGGAAAAAAAAGATACTTTGCAAGTTTATTTTCTAATTGATTATTTTAAAAAAGTCGTAATTTATAAAAATTTAATTGACATTTTATACCAGGTAAAAAAAAAAAATAAAACAATATTCTTTTCTTACAAAGAAAATATATATTTATGATGTGAAACATGTCTAATAATATAAATGTGATCAATGTAATCAAGTTTTATGTCTTAAATAAATTATACGAGTTTGATGCACTGTACATCAGATTTTTACATAATTTTTTTTTGTATTGGTAACAGACCTTTATGATTTCTATAAAATAAATCGGTGAAACCAAAGTTATTAAAAAGTATCAATAAAACCCAGGAGATGTAAATGTGATGATAAGATTCGTGTAAATATTTTTGAGAAGAAATCCTACATACTTCAGAATTCATGACTATTAAAAGCCACAATGACGTCTTGTTTACATTTGATCCTCCAAGCATCTCTTGGACCAAATCCACGGTACATACTCTAAATCCGCAGATCATTTACAGTATTAGGTTTCTGCGCCAATAGATAATAAACCGGATATTCAAAATAAAAATAATAACTAAAAACACGTTTGGTACGCCGGCGGAGATCTATTGGTTAAAACAAGATCAAATAAAAAAGATTAAAAAAAAAAGTTGGAAGAGGAAATAAGGAGGGAAGTAATGAACCGCGTGCTACTCACGATTAGTATATATTAATTTAGCATATAAGCTCATGATTCCTGATCTGTTTAAAGTTTAGCGTTTTTTTAAATAAAGATCGCACAAAAAAAAAAACAAAAAAAGAATTTAAGTAAAGATTGCACGTTCAAAACATCTCTTCTTCGCATAAATTCTTTACTCTCAATAATACGAAACCAACTTACCATATCTGCCATATCCCTCACCCATGTTAAGATTCATTAACGTGAAATGTCGAATTTATTTGTGGTAAGTTGAGAAAAAATTTCTGATGATAGTTAGCTTATTGTTTTTCTTATTATATATCTATGGTAATAATCTTTATGACAATCTTGCTTTACAACATAATTATGTCTTTCTATCGTAAAGATATAAATAATTATTTGAATCAAGACAACTTCACTGTGATTTTGCCTCGTTAATAAAGCAGGAAAGAAATCTCAAGGGTGAAAAAATTATAATTAATTTGGGAAAACTATCAAAAACAAATTCATCACCGTAGTATGTAATTCTTCAACAGAGAATAATTTTTCGTTGAAAATGATAGTCGTGTTTCAGAATCAAAGCTCAAATTGATGAGACGTTAGAACCATGATTCCCAACTGATATATATTATATTCGAGGAATACTAATTTATAAGATCAATGCATTTTCTTGTTGATCAAAAAACTTATTAATTAAATAACAAAAGACTTTTCGATATACAATGTAGGCTAATTGAAACAAATCTTGGTATTACACTTAATCACGAATATAAGGAAGACTCACGAGTGAACTGAATGGACATACTACATGTTTGGTGAATTCCTGGCCAATTTTTCTTTGCGAGTTCATATGCGGACTCCTGTCGCACCTTTGTGAGGTACGTTAGACGTAATTGTTCGATTATTGTATGTTATTTCATTGCGAAACTATGATTTATCTAGATCTTGATTCTCAATTGATATACTATGTGTATATATTATATAAATACAATAAAAAAAGAACATTTATGTTTATTACAAAGGATAAAATGGTACGTTTTATTATTACATCAATTTTTTTTATTCATGGTGATTAACAACATTTCCAAAGGTGTAATTGCGTTGTAGAGGGCTTGAACCGTTTGTTGCTATTACCGTCGCGGGTAGAATAAAAAAAAATAAAATTAAAAAAATACTCCCCCTGATAGAAATTCCCCTTATTTGATATGTAATACGATTATAATTAAAAATATACCATGCATTGTATACATACCGTACATATTTTGATAAAGGTGAATAAAAATGAATGAATTTAAAATTGTAGTTATTATGAGATCTTGAGTCTGATAAAATATGATCCATCTAATCTTTACTTTCCCTTTATTTGATATTATTGATAAAATATGTGAGTAACCCATTCCAATTACAAAACTGGTTTCATTCAGAATAATCTTTTATCTATCGGAACCTTATCCATACGAAATTCGGGAGGAATCATCATGCATCAACCCATTTTGGTATTTTGGTTTTCGTGAGTTCCTTTTCTCTTCCTATCTAATAATTTTATCAATCAAAACTTACATATGATCAATGAACTTTACATATAATCTTTTGATCTTTGCATATGATAAAAAAATTAATATGATCAAAAAAGTCAACGGTGGCGTTTTTTTCATTTTTTTTTTTAAAAAAAAAAAATTCGTGTAAATTAATAAATGTGATTCTAAGAAAAAATGAGAGCATTTGTGACATTCTAGAGGGCGTTCTTTTTTTATTTAAACTGCTCGTTCAGCCGTTTGTCTAAGCTCCCCATGAGTGGGTCTTCCACACTCCTTAATGCGTTGGAATATTAATAATGAATGTCTTTCTCCGTATAAACAGAGAACAGGTAAAAGCATCAATAAATATTAATAAAAATCATAATAATATTTTTCAATTATTTACCAAAAATATTTTATTTCCAGACGATTCTCATAAAATCTTTATTTCCTTCGCTTAAGTAAAAAAACGCTTTATTTAATTTTATTATTATAACAAAGAGTGAGAGTATGTATTAATTTAATATGAGTCATAATTTTATAATATTCTAAATTCTCATTTTTTTTTTTTTTTTTTTTATTTAATATTACTATATACACACACGTCATAATCGAAGTTCGGTAAAAAATTCGAATAAGTTAAATGAATCAGTTCGTCGAAATATCGAAATATCGGAAATCGTTTAATTCTTTTTCGTACTCGTCATGTAATTACAAAATCTTCTATTCCTGTATTATTTTGGTTTTCAACCTTTGTCTTTATCGAAATCGAATAAAGGAGTTTAACAATTTGTAACAATATTAAATCTTAATGAGCAAAAATATTTTATTTGTTTAAATAAAAAAATGTTACTTTTCTTAAAAAGTTAATTGTTTAAATTTTTATACAATGTCAGTTGTTTACTACGATAAAAAAAAAATTAACTCTATAAACTTCCTAACATTCAATATGT